GTATGTATGTATGTATGTATGTATGTATGTATGTATGTATGTATGTATGTATGTATGTATGTATGTATGTTATGTATGTTATGTATGTTATGTATGTTATGTATGTATGTATGTATGTATGGTTATGTCTTGTTTTGTTTTGTTATGTTATGTAACGTAACGTAGCGTAATTTCATGTAATGTAATGTAGTGCAGTGTAGTGTAATGTAATGTAATGCAATGCATGGATGTATGTATGTATGTAATGTAATGTAATGTTATGTTATGTTATGTTAGTATGTATGTATGTATGTTATGTTATGTTATGTTATGTTATGTTATGTTATGTTATGTTAGTATGTATGTATGTATGTATGTATGTATGTATGTATGTATGGTTATGTTTTGTTATGTTATGTTATGTTATGTAACGTAACGTAACGTAATTTCATGTAATGTAATGTAATGTAGTGTAGTGTAGTGTAATGTGATGTAATGTAATGCAATGCATGGATGTATGTATGTATGCATGTATGTATGTATGTGCAAGAATTGGATAATGAGGGTGGACTCTTCGGGAGGGAGCGGTGTACAAGCAATCGTTTGCCCCCAGGGAATTTGAAATTGAATCTCGCTTGAGGCGGCAAGAGATTGTGCTTGTGATTTTAGGTACGCGGAGTTTTTGTTATGCCTGAAAGTATGACTGCTTGTTGACCATTTAGCCTAACAAAAATGCTTGTATATATATATATGTACCTGAAACAAGCAGGACCTCAGGACCAGGAGTCTTCACAATTCTTTCGTGCGAATCAGAAAAACTATATATATATACATATTTACATGCATGTATCATACACAGAAAACATACACAATCCATCCCTTCAAAAAATAGGAAACACTGTGAATCCAACCTACGTTCCCGGGGGTTACCATATGAGTGGCACGAGTTTGAAAGAAGACACTACCGTCTACCGTCTTAGGAAAGGCGCTGGAACAGTCAACACCTTTTAGGTCAAAATTAAATTGTCTCCTGTTGTGCGCTATGCGAATCAAACCCAATATTCTTGGTCGAGCCAGTTGATGCAGAAACAGCATGCGGCATCATCCCAAGTGTCTAACATCCAAAATGTGGAAACTAGGAGCAAGGACGCTACTAGGAGCAAAGGGTATCGCTACTAGGAGCAAGGACACAACTACTTTGGTGTCCATATTTGGGGCCTATGGAGGTCGAGGTCCACGAAGGCCTTGGAGTGTGTGGGTTTGTGGTTTATTGCCAACTGCATGGCTCGCCGACAACTATTTGATGCCGTACTAAATTGAAACAATAGATGAGTTCAATGACAACTGGGCCACGGATTCAATGATTGATTGTTTCTGCGATCACATACTGAAGTCCTGTTTGTCTTCAGACTTGGTTTGTTTGACTTTGATTGTTGCCTAGCAATATAAATGGAAGGCAAGTGGGTGAAGCGAAATGTGACTATTGATCATCATCACTTGTTCTCTTTTGGGATGCTGTCCCTGTTTGATCCACCTCGCGCATAGAGTGCGTTGTCTTGGCAGGATTCGTTTGTTGCATCGGGCTCTGAACAGGGACTTCTTTGTCAAGTTGCTGAGAGACTTCCATTCCTGAACAATGTGATGCAAGCGCTGCACAGCAGAGCTGGTGATGAGGAGCGCTGTCCGTCGCTGTCCTGCTTTCCTCAGACCCGTTTGCAAAGCCGAACCGGTAATCCGATTTTTCAATCACCGCAACATCTCCGACAGGTTAAATAGGTTCGGGGATCACTTTTGGTGGATGCAATCTACACAAGGTCAATGGGGTGTTCACGGTGTACTCACCTAAACATACTAGGAACAAGAAGCTACTAGGGGCTCCTGGCATCGCTACTAGGAGCAAGGACGCTACTAGGGGCTCCTGGCCGTACTACTAGGAGCAAGTAGCTACTAGGAACAAGAAGCTACTAGGGCTCCCTTTAAGCCACGGCCCATCAGGCCCATCGGGCCCATCCCTTGCTGCGGCACAAACGGCTGCCAGTTGACAGGAGTCACTGCACCGTGCCAGAAAGGTGAACCCCTTCCGGGCCTCTGGGCGTTTGGCCCGGGGTGCTGAGCATGTGCCATTCCTGAACAATGTGATGCAGGGCCTGCATCGTGTGCGCGGGAAGAGTGAAGAGCTGAGACGAGCGAAAAAGAAAAACCCTCTGGGGGCGAATGGTTACGTCACAAAGTTTGGCGAGCACATCCCTGGATTAGCGGATACCATTTGTTGCATCCATAAATTTAGAGGCTTGGATGCAGAAGCGGAACGGGCTCGGGCTTTCTCACTTCATCGAATGGTGGGCCGCCAGGGTGCAATCACACAGCTGGCACAGCTTTTGCCTGGAACAAATCTCATTGCTGCTCTCTTAGCCGAAGCAAAAGGCGATCGGAAAGAGGCTGTAAAGGCGATGAACTTGTTGAAGAGTTGGCGGGATGTGGCCTCCGCAGATGGAGCTCTAGCGCGTGTGGCCGAGCTGTTGCCTGGAGTGGATATCATTTCTTTTGGTCTCATGGTGAATCACGGCCATTTTGCCCATGCAGTTCGAGCCATTTGCAAAACTCGATGGGTGGACGTCACAGCAAAGTCTTCGACTTTAACACTGTCCACTGGATGCGTGGAGGACTGGGTGGTGCAATCGGTGGATTCTGATGTGGTGGTTCAACCTCGAGCGACTTCACTGGCAAGCGGTTTGGTTGACGTTTTCATTCACCTTTTGGACTTTGACCAGCATGGAAATCAACGCTGGGTGACAAGAGGCTTGGAGCATGAGCTGCCATCGGCTTGCACAAGGAAGAAGAGAAGAGGCCTGAGAAGAGCTTTTGAAGATGTCAAGATCATGAAGGCGAACCAAGCGATGCATGGCATGCTGGACTATTTGTTTCTGAGCTCTCCATGCTTGGTTGCTTATCTCGTGGAGCTTGCAAACTGGGCTGTGTATGATTGGACAGCATCATCCCCCACAAGTAGATGTGTTCTGAGGACATTTTCTATTCTCTTCCCTCCAATGGTATGTAGAAGCCTTCCTGATACTGCACCAAGTGCTGGCCTGGGCCGTGCTGTACAGAACTCTTTGCCGGGAGTTACAACAACACATGGTCAGATGCCTGTGAACCCCTCCAACTTCCAGATTCCAGCTGTGCACATTGAAGAGAAACACACCCTTTGCAACCTTGTCCCATCCGTTTGTGCAGGTGCTTCGTGTGTCTCGATCTCCTGCGTGGCAGCAGGTATGCATTCTTTATTACCATTGGCCTGCTTGTCAGGCTGCCTGGCAGGCGTGGGCTTGCTTCACCGAAGAATTAAGAGCAATTTAACGCGCTGGCTGAACCAGTTCAATGCTGAATCTTGGAAGTCGATGGCAGCGCCAGTAGTGCCGCTCACCAGGCAAATTGAACAGTCAGATGAGCTCCCTCCACAGTCCGTTTTGGAATGGGCGATCTATGAAAACGTCCCTGAGAGTGTCAATGAAATTTTTGAACCTCAGGGTGTTACCTTTGAATGGTCGAGGACTCTTTTAGAGGATGTTGGATTTGCAGAGCTTTTTCGCAACTACGTGCTCCACGAATGGCTCTCAAAACAACGCAAGTGGAACTGGATGCACCCAGCCTTTTGGATATTGCACTTCTTCGAAGCACCTTTGCGAGGCTGGGACTGTCAAAATGCACAAGAGTGAAGCAAGCCTACAAGAGTTACAAGAGTCTTACAAGAGCGAAACACGGCATGTTGGCCTGAGTGCATCATTATATATGTAGAGGAATTGTTTGCACAGGTTGATGTTCACTCAAATCAAACCACAACATACCACAACTAAATAATTCTCTATTCTACCCCACTCACTACACAAATCATCATGAATCAAGGACTCTTGGACACTAACGAATCTATTTTTGAAGGGATGGCGCGCAATCGTCGGCTACAATGAATCCGCCAAATACATGAGGCCTTGAGTTTTTTTTACTCCTCAAGGCCTCAAGGCGTCAGTTTTGAGGAGTTCTTTACTAAAGTGCACAAGCGTCTCCTGTGGCTACTTGGGTTGTCTTGTGCCCAATTACATGGGTAAGAAGTAGCTGGCAGAGCACGGTGTCGTTTGTTTTCACGGCTCCTCTGCATCAGAAGCATGAGGCTCAGTTCACCACCACTTGCCAATTGGCTCAGCGCAAGTTCTAAAGCACCCGAAAACTTCACACTTCACCTCAACTACACATTGTATTTGCCACGACCTCACCACCCAGGCCGAGGACACGGAAGAACCTGAAATCACAAGAAATGAGCATTGTTGCTTATCTAAATAAGCTACAAAGCTAAAGAAGCTTCCTAGGCGCCTGAACGCAGAAGGGCTCATGCTTCTTCAAGGAAGCTCCCCCGCCTTAGGGCTGGGGGCAGCTTCCTTGAAGAAGCCTGAGGCTTAATGATTTGATTCCTGTTTTGGAAACTTAACATTTTGGGTTCCTGAATGGGGCTTGTACACTGAAACCCTTCACGGGAACTTCCACGAGCCAACAGCTTTCGCGGCAGGGTGCCTGCGCGGGGCTTGGATTGTTTCGCGGCACCTACGCAATTGGTCTTTTCGCGATGCAAGAAACAACTATTTGTTAGGTAACTACTTTTTGCATAGTGGCCGTTTAACTTACTTTCTGCTCCAGAGATGATATATTGCGGCGATGTTTTGCTGCTACGCCTCTCGATTTCAGAATGCTCACCTACGCTATGCTCAGAGAATGCGTCACAAAGGGCTCAAAAGGTTTCTGCCGAGAACATACCGGCATCTCGACCTCCCTCGAAGCTGCGCGCCCCAAAGCACCACAGATTAGCCAGATTAGCCTCAGTGCCCACTAGCAAGCAACAAGCGTCAATCCATCAATTTGGTCGTTCCATCAATTCTGAACAACTTTCATTGTTGTTTGTGGACACATATATATATATATAGCGCTTGTTGACTGTTTGTATGTACAGCCCATATATACTCCGCTAGGGTACTGCAGACACGTGACTCTTGACGTGTTTTGGCTCAAGGGAGAAAAGGCGTTCCGAAACGTCGAAACTTTGTTTTCATGGTAGCGCGTGAGCCCGGTGAAAGCGAAAGGGACCAAGCGCTGCGCATCAAGGAGGAGAGACATAGTAAGGTAGAGACCTCTGAGGAGGAGGATCAGGAAATCGCGGGAGCGGCCGCTTCGGCCGCCCCGAGTGGAAAGGAAGAAAAGGAGGAGGAGCCTTTGCCAGCCACATCAGCGGCGGAACCAGCCGCAAACACCACTCCGGCGGTTGTAGGAACTGCCGAAACAACACCAGCGGTTGAAGGAACCGCGGAAACAAAGGAAGAGACCACCAAAGAGACAGAAGGAGGAGAAGAAGAGAATCCTGAACAAGACCCCACAGTAGAGCCAGAGGCTGAAGCGGCTGATCCAGCCGCCCAGCCTTCATCTGGCCGAGTGATCGCCGACTTCATCACATCCCCCGAGGGTATCAAAACAGGTTGGGAGGTTCGTGGCATTCACGCCAAATATACCCCAGCCAAAGTTGATCCTAAGGCACCTTGGAGGGTGAAGAAGAACATTTGGGGACAGGTCAAGAAGCATCCAGAGCCACAATCCGGATTTCGACTTCGAAGCAAGACTTCGCTTCAGTACCGGAGGCTCAAGGACCTGGTCAGGCTGCAGAAGAAGAAGGGTGTCATCACAGAGGATCTGAGGAGGCGCATCAAAGAGTTCGGAAAGGGGCGCACTCCGCAAGAGATCAAAGAAGAGCGGGAAGAGCAAAAGGTCCGCAATCAAGAGAAGCGGACCAAGAAAAGGAAGACCTCAGAAGCGGCTGGTTCAGCCGAGGAGGAGGAGGTCGAAGAAGAAGAGTCGGTGAGCCATCCAAGTCCGGTTCGACAGCCTCGAACACCGGACGGGCCACCGCCGGCTAAGCGACCGCAAACCCGCGACACCGAGCGGGGACGGGCGGTCTGGGGGCGCGCGCTGGAGTTGAACCTCCGCATCGTCGCCCTAGCCAACGAGCGGGCCCAGCGATTGACGATAGAAAATTGGAAATTAGAGAGCCCGTTCCAAGTGCGAAAGTTTGCGGCCGACGAACTTTGCGAGCAACGAAATCTCAAGGGCACCGTTGCATTGGCCGCCATTCGCGAATTGTGGAAGACCCCCAACGAACAAGGAAAAAGAGGATCCAACGAGGCCTGCAGTTCTTGTGACGAACGGTGGCAGGCACAGCTGCCGGTGGTGAAGGACTACATCAAACGGCGAGGACTTAAGGGACCTGCCGTTCTTGGATCGAGCGCCAAGTCCAAAGCGGCGCCAGCAGTGAGCCTGACACCTGGGCCGAAAGTGAAGGCCAAATCAAAGGCCGGACCAAAAGGAAAGGCCAAACCATCCGCCGCACCAAAAGTAGCGGATGAAGCGAAGGCCACAACTGTGGGTCGTCGCCCGGAGGAACTCACACGGACTACTGTTGAAGTCCGTGGAGTGCCAAAACCTTCCGATCCTTGACCGGGCGAACCGCCCGCGACTGCCGCTGGAAAAGGAGCGAGCGGCAGCAGCAGCAGGGGTTGAGGGTAGGAAACCATGCAACTGAGTGAAATGGTACTTCAACTCCAACAGAACCAAACGAGGTTGGAGCAAGAGAATCAAGTGTTGAGGGAGTCTCAAGGCGGGGTATCAATGCTAGCCTCAGCTGTAGGAGAATTGGCTAAGAGTCTTGAGAAGAAAGAAGATAGGAGGAAGACCCAAATCCTTATGGACACCAAAGGTTTGGGACGCCCCGAGAGTTTTGGAAATGTTGAAGGGGATTTCCGAAAATGGGCCAGGAGCATCGACAACCTGTTCATAACTACTTTTGGGAGAGAGTTCATTGAAGTCCTGGAGTATATTTTGGAGCAGGAAGACGCGATTGAATTGAGTGCTATGGAGTCCGCGTTTGGGACTGGAACCATAGCAGCTATAGATGATCTAGAGGATAAAGCTGATCAAATCCATCGCGTGCTCCTGACCCTGACCTCAGGGGAAACAGAGGATTTGATGGTAGGAGCTTCAAATGGGTTTGAAGCATATCGGCGAGTTCACCGCCGTTGGGATCCCCGAACCTCGGGACGGAAACGCAATATACTTCGAGCGATTCTCCAACCGGAGAGAGTCAAGACATGGGCCGCGGTGAGGCCAGCGATCGAACAGCTCGAAGAGCTCATCAGGCGGTACGAGTCTCGGAGGAGTGCCGCAGGGATCAGGGAAACCCTATCGGACGATATCAAGTCCGCTTCATTGGAGATGCTGGTACCCCCAGATTTGGAAAAGCATCTTTTGTTGAATAAGAGTAGATTGACAACCTACTCGTTGATCAAACAGGAGATTGAACTTGTCATTGAAACATCCCTCACATCAAAGTCATCTGTTCCAAAACCAGGTTCATCAAGTTCGAGTTATCAAGGACCTCAACCCATGGACGTCGATTCGATCGGACAATGGATCGCAAGCCTGGTCAAAGGAAAAGGTAAAGGAAAAGGTAAACAGGCCAAAGGTGATGGAAAGAAAGGCTCAAGCAAAGGGGGCTCAAGTAAAGGCTCAAACCCGGCTCAAGATATTACCTGCTACAATTGCGGTAAGAAAGGACACCGAGCGGCCGATTGCTGGAGCAAGAAACGGCCGGATGGAAAAGGCGATAAGTGGTCAGGTTCAGGCAAAGGAGACAAGAGTGGTAAAGGTGACAAAGGCAATAAAGGCAAAGGTGGGAAAGGCGGCAAAGGCAAAGCCGCAGGAAGTATGGAAGAGATGGATGATCCGGATGACGGCAATGAACCAGCTCCGGAAGCTGATGTCGGAATGCTCATGGCAGACTTGAGTGGAATTGGAACGGCGGACACCTCATCCGCCGAAGAATGGATGAAGTTTAACCTGGACACTGGAGCAGCCCAGACAGCCATCCCGAATGGCTGGGAGGACCGAGTGGTTGTCAGTGAAGGCAACGGAGTTGTATTCAAGACTGCATCAGGAGAGTTGGTGCCCAGTCAGGGCATTGGAACCTTTGAAGGGTTCGACGAGAGCGGCAACAAATGCCGTGTGAAAGGTTCAATGGCTGATGTTCACAAGCCATTGATTTCAGCATCCAAGTGCTTAGGCTTTGGAAGGATTGCAGTTCTTGATGCAAATGGCGGAAACTTGATTCCGCAAGGGTCCAAAGTTGGAAAGGCTGTCCAGGCGATCCTGGAGAAAGCGAACGCTGCAGAGCAGCGGAGTTGGATCCCTGTGTATCAGGAGCAGGGAGTGTACAACTTCTACTTGAGAAAGCCAGGGTATAAACCGACAAAGGAATGCTGTGGCATCGCAGAGTTGAACGCCACAGGAGAAAGAGGAGATGCCTCTATGGATTCAGGCCGACCTGGTCCAGAGGGGCGAGAAGAGGATGATGAGTTGGAATTAGTTGATGAGGTTGAGAAACCCATCCAGATAAGAGCACCGGAGGACCCAACTCCGGCTGAGGTTGAAGAGCACGAGGCGACAGGCCATGTGCAGTATCGAAGTTGGTGCCGGCATTGCATTGCTGGACGGGCTGTGGGACAGCCACATCGGACGAGATCCGAGGAAGAGAAGGCCAAGAGCCTTGTGCCCACAGTGGCAATGGATTATACGTTCATGTCACGGGGCGGTGTGGAGGACGAGCGAGTGAAGCCGATCCTCGTAGTGAAGGACGAGAGGACACAGTCCTTAGCGGCGACCTTCGTGGACTCGAAGGGAGCGACGCCGTATGCAGTGAAGTTCGTGGCGAACTTCTTGAAGAACTTGTGACACCGCAAGGTAGTTCTCAAGTCAGATGGTGAGCCATCAGTGGTAGCCTTGAAAGAGGCAGCGGCGAAAGAAACCGGCATAGACTGGGTTTCGGAAGAGTCGCCAGTAGGAGACCATCAGGCGAATGGTCTGGCAGAGAACGCCTGCAAGGAGATCAAGCGTCAAGTACGAGTTCTCCGCAGCGCGTTGGAAGAGAAGCTCGGCAAAGAGCTTAAAGATGATGATCCTGCATTGGCATGGCTGCCAAGGCAGGCGGGAGACCTGTTGAGCAGGTACAAGAAAGGTCAAGATGGCAGAACGCCTGAGGCCAGAAGATGTGGAAAGCAATGGCGAAAACCTGCCATAGCTTTTGGTGAGCGCCTATACTTTAGAGAAGTAGGCGAGGGAGTTCGCATCCTGAAAGAAGGACGCTATGTAGGACACCATGGCCGAACAGGATCCATTTTGGTGATGACGGCCGATGGCGTGCGAAGAGGCACAGGAATCCGGCGGCTGAGTTCAGCCGACCGCTGGGACCCAAGCGATTGGGACCTTTTGCGGGGCTTACCGTGGGAGCACTCCGCGGCAAGGCCTGCCGGTGAGCAGTTGATGCTCGAAGAGCGCCTTGTGGTACCGCCTCCCAAGGAGGAACGAGTGGCACCACCACAACAGAGGCGAGTGTACATCAGGAGAGAGGATGTGCACAAGCATGGAGCCACAGAAGGCTGCCCAGGATGCAAGTGCATCTTGGAAGACAAGAGGACGACCTTGCCGCACACAGAGGCGTGCAGAGCAAGGATCACCGAAGCAATGGAAAAGGATGAAGCTGGGCAAGCGAGACTTGAAGCCCATGCAAAGAAGAGGAAAGAACGGCAACAGCTTGACACTGTGAAGCCGAAAGTCGTGGCCGATAAGGACACTGACATCATGGCCGAAGACGCGGCCGGAGAACCAGAGAAGAAAGAAGAAGCAAAGAGCGCAGGGTCGGGGAGCCCGCCGCCAGCAGCGGTAGAGGGTGAGAAGACCTATCCCGATGACCCGAAAGAGAGACATGAGATGAAGAGGCAAGCAGCCGAGATAGAGAAGAAGCCAGTGGCAAAAGCCAAGGTAGCAACAGAGCCCAAGAAGAGAACAGGAGAACTTCGGATAGATCCACCTGGGGCAAAGGTCAAGCCGAATCCAGTTCAAGGAACAAAGAGGTCAGCAGAGACCGCCGTAGAAGACCTTGATCCCAGAGTGGAAGAGAGTCCAAAGAAAACGTCTCAGTTTTCACATGTTCCAGAAACACCACCAGCAGGGTGGAGGCCAGATGCAGCCAGCTTGGTAAAAGAGAAGGAGATCGCAAAGCAGCATCTGAAGAAGATCATTCAAGGAACCTATGAGGCGAATGACATCGAGATCTCTGAGCAAGAGATCGGAGACTTCGCTCATTTGAGCATGCAGATGTCAGCAGTAGATATCATGGAGATCTACTCGCCCAAGAGGTTCACTGCGCTTGCAGAGCGCTACAAGTTGCGACCGGGTTTTGCGATCGACTTGAATGAAATGAAAAGTGATGGAACATACTGGGACTTGAACAAGCCTGAAGATGTTCAAGAAGTGCATGACATCCTTGAGAAGGACGAACCGGCGCTTTTGACTGGTTCGCCACCGTGCCATATGTTTTCACAGCTCCAGAGCCTCAACTGGAGAAGCATGGCGCCGGATGTCCGGAGGAGGAAAATGGACGAAGCCGTCCACCATCTCCATACGAGCGTAGAGCTGTATGTCAAGCAGCATCGCTCAGGGAGAAAATTCCTCCACGAGGCACCTTGGTCCGCGACCAGTTGGAAGGATGAGAAAGTCGCGGCCTTAGCAGAGGAAGATGGAGTGTTCATAGTGAAGGGTCCAATGTGCAGGTGGCAAATGATGGCCACCGACCGAAGAGGACTCCAAGGCACCGGCTATGTGAGAAAGGAGACCGGTTGGATGACCAACGATGAAGGGTTGGCCAAAGTCTTGCAAGGAGTCTGCTCGAATGAATCGGGCAAAGGACCATGGCACCGACACATCCATCTGATCGGAGGCATTGCAAGGCAAGCAGCGGTATACCCACCGCCGCTCGTGAAAGCAGTACTAAGGAACCTGCGTGACACACTAGCCGAGAAAGGTGAGTTGAACACCTTTGACTTGTTTGCAGCAGGCCCAGTTCCAGAGATGCCTCTGATGGACCCTGAGTTCGAAGAAGTCTACATGGATGATGTGAACGGCAGCCGAGAAAGTGAAAGAGGCAAGACGCCTTGAAATGGATTATTTGAAAGAAAAGCATTGTGTTTATGTGCCCCGGCCGAGAGCCGAATGTTTTGAGGAAACGGGATTCCAGTCAGATGGTTGGACACCAACAAGGGAGACCCAACCAACCCAAACTATAGGAGCCGTTTAGTTGTGCGTGAGATTAAGGCAAGAAAGACCAAAGAAGAGCAATTGCCAGCCAACTTGCTTTTCAGCAGCACGCCCCCATTGGAGGCGATGAGACTGCTGTGCTCGTTGTGGGCAACAAAGAGCAAGTCCTGCCACAACCAGCCGCTGAAGCTGGGCTTGTGGGACATCTCACGAGCACACTTTTATGGAACTCCAAAGAGAAAGATCTACATAGAGCTGCCGCCAGAGGACGAAGCCAGCAATGATGGGCAGACCTGTGGACTTCTCGTGAAGTCGATGTATGGAACACAGGACGCTCCAAATATCTGGCAGACGCACTATACAGAGACTCTGCAGAAAGCTGGTTTCCGCAGAGGCTTGTCAAATGCGTCAGTCTTCTACCAAGAAGTTTGGGACGTCAGAGTGATGGTGCATGGAGATGACTTCCTAGCGCTTGGAGACGCTCAACACTTGGAGATGCTCAGCCAAGTCCTCAAAGATGCCTATGAGCTGAAATGTCTCGGAATTCTTGGAGACGAGGATGGAGACCGAACAGAAGCCCATTTCCTGAATCGGTTGATCCGAGTCGAAAAGAAGAACGGCAAAGGATCAATTGTGATCGAAGCCGATCGGAGACATGTTGATCTTTTGATCCAGGCATTTGGTCTGGAGAAGGCAAATGGTGTAGAATCACCAGATGTCAAGAAGTCGGCAGATCAGCAGATGCTGGAAAGCCGCAGTCCGCTGCTTGATAAGAGCGAGGCATCAAAGTATCGTTCAGCAACGATGCGTGCTGCATACTTGTCCCAAGATCGACTTGATATTGGGCACGCAGTCAAGAACCTTGCTCGAGGTATGGTATCACCAACAGAAGCCAAACTTGCTGACTTGAAGCGTCTCATCAGGTACTTGAAGAAATGCCCTGATGTTGGGCAATGTTTTGGCTCGCAGCAGACACCCTCAAGGCTGAGGGTGCAGGTCGATGCCGACCATGGTGGTGACGCTGTGACGCGCAAAAGCACGACTGGCATGGTTGCTATGTACGGCATGCGCGTGTTGAAACACAGTAGTAACATCCAATCCACTGTAGCCCTTTCTACAGGTGAGAGTGAATACTACGCACTTGTGAAGCGAGGATCTGTGGGCTTAGGCCTCCAAAGCCTATGCGCAGACCTTGGTTTGGATTTGGGAGTCACCGTCGAGGGCGATTCCAATGCAGCCAAAGGAATTGTGAATAGAGTGGGTTTGGGCAAAGCCAGACACATCCAGACTCGCTACCTATGGTTGCAAGAAAGGGTTGCCGAGGGCCACTTGAAAGTGCACCACGTTCCAGGTCTCAAGAACAAAGCCGATGTTTTGACCAAATCGGTTCCTGGGGTGCAGCTTCGCAAAACCATGGAGGACCTGCAATATGCATTTCTCAGCAAGCGAAGCAAAGGACAGTTAGATGTTTTGGAGTAAGGTCCCTGGCCAAGCTCCACTACCACAACTGAAAGTGGCTAAGCAGCGAAGAGTTTCACATGTTTACTTTTAAGCTTGCGCAGCAGTACAGTGCTTTGCAAGAGGAGGAGTGTTTGTATGTACAACCCATACATACTCCGCTAGGGTACTGCAGACACGTGACTCTTGACGTGTTTTGGCTCAAGGGAGAAAAGGCGTTCCGAAACGTCGAAACTTTGTTTTCATTGACACCCTTCTGGTTTTGCCCGCGGATTATCGTGGCAGAAACTTGTCGCTTGCCAGGATTCTTGAACGCGTCCTTTGATGGTCAACATGTGCCATTGGTGACCAAGCTTCATTCATACTGATTCTTTCTTTGTTTCTGACATGGTAAATGTGTCCAAGGTCATTCCGATTGAGCTACCAGCAGGGAACTACAGCAGTGGTCTTTGGCTTCCTGAGATCAGGTGGGGCATGTGACCGGCATCCGGCATGAAGATGCAGACACTGTGATCACCCGTGCACTGACTCACTGACCATTTGATAGGGTAATGCTGGTTCTTTGGCTACAGTTTCAGAATCATCACTACGTCCAAAGCTGAGTCGTTTTACCTCGCTAAGGTGGATATATATATACATACTATATATATATATATATAACAAAAACTATATATAATATATATATATATACTTATATATATTATATAATATATATAATATAATATATATAATATAATATATATATATATTTCTTTTTAACACGATACTTTGCCACATCAAGAAGGTGACCTACAGTAAGGGGACATGATACGACTGCAAGTAAGGTCACTGGAATTGAAGCGGTGATAATTGATGGTATGCTTGATGCTCGACTCGACTTGCGGATGATCAACTGCCTTCCATGAGTGGACATTGTGTACTTTTTGGCTTGTGTGCAAGACCTGACCTCTGTCAGCAAAGGATCAGATTGCCAATGCAGTCAAAGCGCAAAGTCTTCCCCATGACTACGACTGGCGGGAGGCCAAAAAAACGAATTTTTCAAGTCTGAAGAACGGGCTGTCTTGATGTCGTTTGCACCAGGAGGATCCTCGACTGACAGATTTCACTGAGCCAATCAATCTGAAATTTGATGCCTCTTGGAAGATAACTTTGACATATTGAAGAAACTTCATTTCTAACTGTTGAACACAAATTCACGCACACAGTATTTGCTAGTCCAACAGCACTTTTGCCGTGCCATATTCATGTGGCCACTTTCATATGTGCTGGTCACCTCGCGCCCTCTGTTCCTCTTGCCTTCCCGTGAGGTTGCTCTGCGGTGGGGTCGGGAGGACTGCGTTTTCATTAGCCCCGTGCTCCCTGCAAGCAGAAGTTCTGAACACAACCATCTCGAAATCTTGCAAGACAATTTAGGACAAGCTGTACATAGAACTGAAGGACTTAGCAGCATTTTGCCTGCATGTGGTTTTGCTGGACTTCTTTGACCGAACGATTCAGCTAAGGTGAAGCTGTGCTTGCCGAAATGAGGCTATGCAAATTGTTTCACAGCAACGTGAACTAATGAGTCTTTGCACGGCGGAACCTTGCTTGCCTCTTGCCCGGCGAAGAGAGCCAAAGGGTCTGAAGTTCTAAAGAATGCCATCCAGAAGGCTCTTTGCCGTGAATGTCTTCAAACTATCATCAAGAGGAGCAATGAATCCTTGAGATGCTTTTATTTGGCTTTGTTGAGTTGGCCTCAAGCTATGAAGATGAGTGTTACAATAGTATATAAGTTACATGTTCTACTACCTAGGTACGAGTTTCTGCGCACAATTGCACAATATGATTGATTGATCGATTAACTGCCTGTGCCTAGAACTAGCGCTCAGTTGTGATGTGCAGCAGTGCATATCACAAACACAAGATGAACAGCCAGACTCCTATATATATATATACACATTTTCTCTGCATGCCAGCCAGTCCAGGGTAATGTGGTTCTGCTTCAACATAGTGAGCAATGTCGATGCTTGGCAGCGTGACGCAGCTCACTGGCACAAACCTGGAAGCTCAGAGGTTCGTTGGGATAGCTGAAGCTGGGTACTGTAGTATATTTAAAAAGATATATTAACAAAGATATTATATAAGTTATAAGTTGTAATGTGTTGTAATTTGTTTGAGGACATATAATTGTCCTGTGCTAGTCATGAAGACACATGCTCTTTTTTGCTTGTTGAATTTGCACTATGAGGCTCACCAGATCGCATGTGCCAGACAACACTGAGCCTGAGTATGAATCTGTGATAGTAACCATCCGCACAACCCGGCATTTCCTCTAGAAGAGCGCCCCATCAGCAATCCGCAGTCTGCAAAACCAGCAAAAACGTAGGAACTACTAAGCAGCGTACATTGGAACCTGTGGTGGGATGTGATGTGTGATGCTTTTGACACAGCAGGTGGCTCAGAAGAGCTTTAGACATACTCGAGTCGGAACCAGAAGAGGCACTAGACCTTGCAAGGATACGCCCTCAGCTTACTGTACTGACTACATACAGCTTTGATGAGTTTTGAGGAACACTTAAGGAAAATTGAAGCTGAGGCGGGCCACAAGTGCTTTTGATGCAGCAGCGGAACTGGATAATGCAGCTGATGCATCACGCTTAGTGGCTTGAGCCTCAGGTTGTTTGACCTGGTGAAGCTCCTTGAAGAGAAGAACATAGCTCAAACATTCTGGGCATAGTTGATGCAAAGATATGCAAAGCTTCGATTGCTTAACACCTGATAGCTATATAATTCCTTTTTCGTACGTTGTGCACTTTGTCCTTTGCAGGTTAGTGCGACCTTCAGTTCCGGAGACGTTGAGGTGAGGACAAACAGATGAAGCAAGCGTTGTGCATTACATAGGTGCGCTCATCAGCTTAGTGCAGGCTGCCATCAGCTTGGCCAGTGACCAACTTGAAGCAGCCAAGGGAGGTAGTCCACAAATGCAGGCTTGGCAAGTCAGAAGTGCTTTTGCTATCTTTCACCGACGCTTGGCATTCACAGACTCGCAGACTCGCAGACTGCTGTCGACCCTGACCCTCGTGTTTTTGCACGATGACACTGCAGGCCTATGCACACCTCATGTGGGCAGAGCTGATGCTTGCACTTGGCAAGACTGCTGCACTGAAGGCGTTGCGGCGCTGGTGTTGATTTTGGCAACCAGTATTGCGCTTCGCAATTTGGGTTCCAATCATTGCGCATTTGCCCTCAGGAACATGCGGGACAGGCCGCGCAGCTTTTCCAACAGTACCTTTGCTGCGTAATGGGGGCAGCTTGCTCCAAAACGATTCAATATTATCTTCTATTGTTTCGTTTGATGAGCACATGCTCAGCTCACAGACGCAACTTACTGACTGAGTTCACAATTTCTTAGGCTGGACAAGATGCCATATGTTGCCAAATGCAAAGCCGCAATATTGCAAGCTTGCATTCAGGACTGGATTTGCAACTTGAGCCTCACTTCCATGTCATTGTTTCTGCTTGCCTTCCATAGATTCTGAACAGTGCGAGGAATGTGACGGACTTGAAAGCGAACGATTAGCCGAAGAGGCCTCACGCAAACATTTTAGTCTCTTGTCTCCTGTTGCATTTTCATGCTGTGTGTTTGGGTGTGGTCCATCAGGTTCTGACCATTTGGCAGAACCTTGGAGATAAGGGCGGTACTGCGGTTGACTGGAGCTTAGGGGTCTTTGCTGGTCAGACTGCGGTCGCTGATGCAACTCTTCACCCCAGTAGTATCAACGAAGGCCTGGCATCTTCTTTCAGCTGCACGGTCTGTGGGTGGAGGCCATGTCCCAGTTCAAACCTGACCGGTTCCACTTCGCCTCCAATTTTGTTGAGGCAACCTCATGGAGCCGCTTGCGAAAGCCCTCGATTTGTACAAAGAGCTTAATTGGAAGCGGTACGAGGCCAGAGGGATGAGCACACACACGAGTTGCGCAAGCCAGACCTTTTCTTGAGGCCTCCGTGCTTTACAGCCTCTCAGAACGACAGCGCTTCCAACCTCACGGAGGTGTGCAGTGTTCCAGTGCATGAGAAGCCATGGCAGTTTCTTGAGAAGGTCCGGTCTCGTGGAACACCTTTCCCTCATCACTCACGCACAAGAAAGTTATTTGAAGAGCGTTTCCTTGGATCCATTTAGCCAGCAGAATGCACAGAACACTTTCTCAACCAACTGATCTCAGCAGATCACGGTTTTCATGATGCAAGGGTTGCAATCCAGACACGCATGCACTACATGCATTCTTCATTATATTTGTTACTTTTTTATTCTACTATATTTTTGTACACTGGGAACGTCAATATTCAATTGCAGCGCAGCAGGGATTGAGCCTGTGTTCCTGGGATCCAGTACTCACTTCTTCCTAATAGCTTCTTGTTACTACTAGTAAGGCACCTGTTACTAGTAGCGTGGCATCACGGATTTCTCATTTTGAGGGTTGAGTGACCACGCGTATCAGCCCTGTCAAGCTTATATATCCCACTATCAAACTATTCAAAAACCACTACCAATCCGTTTTTAGACAGATAATCTATCTATCTATTTATCTAGCTATCTAGCTGCTAGCTAGGCTGTCTGTCTGGTCCGTCTGGTCCGTCTGGTCCGTCTGTCCGTCTGTGGGTCTGTCCGTCCGTCTGTCTACCTAATTACTTACGTATCCACTTGCATCTTCACTTGTCCGTTTATGTAATTTATCCCTCAATCACCTAGCGCTACACAGCAGCTATGCCGAATAGCCTTGATCTTACCGTACACGTGTGATTTTGTGCGTCTCCTCTTCCGCTTCCTCTTTTTCTTCTGTGCCTTGCTCCTGTTTCCAGTGGCGTTTCGCTTCCGGAACAGGAGCTGTGGCGCAAAGAACGGCGGAGGAGGTCTCACTGACATGGCTTGCAGAGGAGGTTTGTGAGTTGTGGCTTGAACCTATGCCACTCTGCAAGCCACAGGCTGTGTCCATTTGGAAAGAGATTGGCAACTACAAGGGGGAGGCGGGCGATGCATGTACATACTGCCAGTGCTGCCAGCAACAAACTTGGTCTATTGGGCATTTGCTTCAGTGTTGGGTGGTGTTTTGCAAAAGGCCACCGCCATGACTGCAGTGGCCAAAGCAATGATTGTTCGTGGACTCACTTCTGCTTCTCCCTCAGGTTGCTAGACTAGTTTGTTTCCTATAGTACCGTTTTCAACCAGAGACGTGGCCTGACCACCAGACCTTGACCAAGGATGCCTTGCAGATGGTGCAAACCCGCATGCAGGAATTACGCCAAGACAACAGGCTTTCCTGGCAACATGTTGTTTTAAGCACTTGCACTTGCTACTTCTTCAATTTCATCAAGGAACCACGGCCTGAACGGCCACTTTGACGTGTGAGGCTTTCGGCTCTTGCTCAAACAGGGCAGGGTTGCGTCACCGTGCTCCAGGACCCGGCATAGTCAAAATCTGAAGTACGACAGGTTCTTTCTTACTTGAGCTCAGAGGAATGCGGTGCGAAAGATGAAGCGTTGGCAACAGTACAAAGCTCATGGAACGAATATTGAATCATTAGAATCTAGAGCTCGTCTGGTGGACATGTTTATCCGACAGCTCAATTGATATTCCGACTTCAGTTTGTACTTCCAAACAACCGCACGAGCATGACGGACGATACCAAGGCCGAAGAAGTCTTGGCAATAACGCAGCAGCTGGGCAACAGGCCACTAGGGCACTTGTCAAAAGTTGGCCATAGACTCCAATAGACTGTGCCAGTTCTATACATAGTCTTTCACGCTCCACTTAAGCATTGCCCGCACTACGTGAACCAACCACCCCGGTTTTGCTCATCTCAAGGCATGAAGAAGCCTGGATGTTGATCAAGCTCTCAGAGGCGAAGTGGCCACATCAAACAAGTAAACGATACAAAACAGAAAATGGTTCGAGTTGTTCGTTAGGTGTGAGCAGAATGCAGCCTTTGGACAACTTAAGGTCCGTAGTGACATGAAGCTCTATGAAGAGGCGTTGCTTTGTGCCCAGGAGGCAGAGCTTGGCTTGTCAGTATTCATGATGTTATCGCTGCATCGCATTCAAACTGTGCGGCATTGTGAGTGGGTTGATGCGTTGATAATATGTCCGCTGGCCTACATCGTGGCAGCGAACGGACTGCTTGCTGTATGTGCTGCGAATGGAAGGGATCCCCCAGCAGATTGTGCAGGCACAAACAATCTTCCAAGAATTGGGGGACCAGTGCGGCAGTAAGCTCAGGCAATCTCAGGCACCTGAGGTGAACCAAGCTACGACAGCAAGGATTCCCTGGGTAAGGGGAAGTGTGTTGGTAAGGTGAGGCAGAAGCCATGAAAAGTCTGTCGCACATCTATACGGCCACAGCCCCAGAAAAAGCATTGGAGTTGGGTTGCTCTTCCGTTCCAAATAGGGGGGTTGTTCAAGGTGACATCTCATTTGCTCAGACCAATGCAGATTTTACTGCTATCGTCTCAAACATCGTTATAATATAGTTTTGTTCTGTTTTGCCTGCTAGCTAAGGCCAAGAGAGAAGCCCACAAATCCCCACATCGTCAACGAGCACTTGATTTGCTAAGTGCGCCACCTGTTTCGAGTGGAAGAAGCCTCAAAGCGGCTAGGTCACGCAGCAGATTTGGCCAGGTCAGTTTGCCACCTCCGTTGCCAACAAAGATGTGGAAGGCTCATGAAGCAACAGCTGTGAATTCCATACTGCGCAAATAGTTGAAGCAAGGCAGATTTTCAGGAATATCGGAACAGCTGTTATGTTGCCACAAGTTGTCCAACAGAGCCCGGTCCTCCTTCCAACAGAGCCATGGTTCTGGAGGTCGGACATGTGTAGGGCAGCCTTTCATGCCCAAAGTCTAGGGGCAGTGTGAGCAAATGCGGCTGAGCTTCCCCCAAGCTTTACTTATACTGTACGTTTGCTGTCCATTGTTCTTTTGCAGGTTTTCAAAAGGCACTGACACAAATGCGGCTGTACCAGGCAGGTTTGCCAAGCCAGTTTGTTATTTGTGATTAGGTGATTTGGTTCTCGGCAATAAATAATAGGTGAAGTAGCTGGAGGCTCTGCAAGTGTTTTCGTTCTGTATGCAATCACGTTGGGTGTCATGATGAAGATTGTTGATGCGGGGTGAGAAAAGGGGCGTGCAGCCTAATGTAATTGCATCGATGCCAATGCTATCAAGATGATGTTCATCAGCCCAAGGACGTTTGAGGGGTCTAGGTGTGCAATCTGCCATGGAGTGTATTCACGCCGCTCCGCGGCAAGGTCCGCCTGCACCGCGATGAAACAGTTGCCCAACAAAAACGGCGAATAGCGAGGTTTTTGAGGTTGACGTTACCAAAAATGCCACTACGTACTGTATTTTACAGTGTTTTTATGCTTTGTGAGGCAGAAACCACTGCAAATAGCGATGTTTTTGAGCTTGCCGTGGCCCAAAACACCGCTATTTACAGTGTGCCCTAGCCCTGCCATCAAAAAACACCACAATGTGCGACGTTTTCAACAACATGGTCGCCAAAAGCACTGCTATTTGCGAGTTCTAATTTTTATATTTTCGCGCAAAGAACTCAAGCCTCGGCAATGTACAGAATCACTGCAAAAACCAATGTTTCTGCTCAACAAAAACGGCGAAACCATCACCCAAACAGCTCCGAAATCACAAAATCTGGCCCCCCGGCCTCCCGACAAGGCACATGGACTCTCAAAACCGAAAAGCGAAGACCAACAGTCAAAAAACACAGGTGTCTTTTTCAACTTTTCTCTTGCCGGTTCCGGGCGGGCGCATCCACGAACTAGTCCATTCCGTGCTGCAAAAAAAACAGTGTTTTTTGAAGTCCGCCGTCGTGACCTATCAAACACTCATGTTTTTGGCAACAAAATAGGCCCCCCCCGGTAAACCTGTACTTTACAGTTGTTTATGCCATCCGGATGATCACGCCCTGAGCACCTTCGGTGCGGGCGGATTTTTATAGTGATTGCGGTTGAGTGGCAACATAGATGCTTAAAACATCTTGAACAGTGTTTGCGGAAGCTTTGAAGATTTGCACCGGACCTACTGCGCCTGACCTCTTGAAATGTCAAGACTAATTATAGCAACAATGTTCTCGAAGGATCAAAAGGACGAGACAGATGACAAAGACAAAGCAAACAAGAAACATACCAGCCCGATACCAGCCAGGTGAAGTTGAATCTAAAGAAGTTAAGAGACGCTGTTGGTGGAAGCAAGCAAGCATGGGACGCGCTTCCTTTCAAATTGATGGTAAAATAGCACAACTAACAACCTTTGAATATTTTCACAGGTTTGCTGTTCGACCGTAAAGCACCAGACAAGGGCAGGTCCCAATCTGGAGGCTTTATTCCTGTCTCTTGTGTTGACTTTTGTCGTGGAACTGAGCACGCGCGTGCAAATGATCAACGTCACAGCTCTCAGGGTGTTGATGGGCAAGATGTCGCAGCCAGCCTTGGAAGCCTCATGCAGGAGACAAAATAATTTCACAACATGAATGAAATAGCTGGCGTACTGACCCTCTCGGCTCTCATCTTGCCCACGAAATCCAGTTGCTTGATTTTGTTTACATCGGCGGAAATCTGGCTGTCAGGATCCAGAGACATACAAGTGGTACGTGGAAGCTTCGGCAGACTACTTTCAGGCCGGGATGGTCCTGGACAGTTGTAAACGGTGGTTCTCAGATGGTTGTGCTTTGCCCAGCGTTGGCTTCTTCTGCCTCCATCCAGGTGACCTTCGAAGAAGCCGAGTCCATGGTTGGCCGTGCTCCATTGAATCCAATGCAGCGTGCCATTGGCCTGGACTCACGCGGTTACTTGGAAGGACAGTTGGAAGTTTGACGTCTGCGGAAGATAGCTTCGGGTGACAAGATCGGCATATTAAATATATAGCAAAAGAACGCAGGAAGAAGGGAAGCTTTTCATGATACTTCCCACTGCTTTTGAGACATGCCTCCCAGGGATGCGAGGGGGTCCCATGTTGACGGTCAGGTAGGCTGGTACAGGGGAGTAACTTCTTAGCATGTGAGTGATCTTGAGGCCTTTCAGTCATTTTATGTTTATGTGCCATTTTGGCTCAAGGCTGATCAAGCCACAAACCCCAGCTCTGATTTTTCCTCATTAGTGGTCAGGGCCTGGGTGTTTGTGGTCAGGATGTCTAGGTTCCCTCCTGCAGCGCTCGCCAAACAGATGGCCCTTGCAGCCGCTCGAGTGGACGATGGCTCCTCAGTGGCCTCATGGACACGACTGGATCCATGGGAAGAGGATGATGATCTCCCTCCAGCAGGGCTCCCTCTGCCACATGTTCAGCCGCCTCCTCCACCTCCGAAGGCGGCTCCGCCTTCCATTCCTGAGGAGGAAACAAAAGATGGGGATCAGCCTGCTCAGACAGCCAAAGCGGCTCCAGCCAAAGCAGCTCCTGCTGCTGACCCAGCTGCTAGCTCCTCAGCGCCTGTGAACCAAGCAGCTCGTGGCTTCCTTGATCATTCTCATGAGACTCCAGCTGCTCGGAAGCTACGCCATGATCAAGAAAGGGCGTCCAAGAGGGGCAAGAAGAAGTTCAGATGGGGAAGAATGGCTCCAGGGAACTTGGCTCAGAATCCCATGAATGCCGCTCTCCCAGACCACATCTCACAGGTGGGGGCAGGGCCAGACGAGCGATCAGTCAAGATCGTTGATGGACGTGATCGTCGACTACAATCTCCTTTCCAAGAATGGCTGCTCGATGAGATTTTGACCAATGCTCTGTCGTACATCAATGTGAAGGCCGATCGGCAGATGGTGAGAGCGCCGTCCCATGGCTATCACTGCAACCTGTTTTTGGTCAGGACCATGGACGGTGTGAAGTTGACCGTATGCTGCTCGATGACTTCGTATGGCAGTGTCCCGGCCGCTCGGTGGGACACGATGACAGGAGCAGTTCTGTCGCACGCGGCCTTTCAGCCGTTCAGGTGGCCGCCAATGACCGATCGGTCACCGACATGGGTCGACGTCAAGGTCAAGTTGGAAGGTCACCTGTTGATCCACCTGGAACTGCGGGGCTATCGCTCAGATTCTGATATGACGATGCAATTGTGTCACGTCTCAGACGCAGTTCATTCGATTCTTTCGGAAACGTGTTTTACCCCGTCCTTTGTGGTCACAATCTTCCAGGGGTGGCGCGTGGTAGCATGCTCATGGGAGATTGGCGGTCGCCTGTACGCATGCAGTGAAGATTTTCCTCTTTGCCACGCTGAATGCCGCTTCGTAGCGACGTCATCACCAGACTCGTTCGGCATGGATGCGGACAGATTGGAATTTAGATTCCTTAGCGCTGGCGATCGCCTTGACGTTGCATGCAGCATCATGGAGGCTCCTCCAAGTTGGCTGGTCGCAAGCAGGGTGTCGGGACCGACTTTGATCAAGAACGCGCGCTGGATCCGCGAGCATGGCGCGAGGGTCGAGTGCCCTGATCAGGCACTCCAACTCTCCCAGCTTGCTGCTGTTCATGCACATTGGACGGCGGCCACTGAGGCCCAGGAGGAGAGTGAGACGGGTGCTCGCATTTCCGCTATCGCCGTGGAGTCCAACCCGATCAACTTGCATCTGATCAGTGAGAGCCCGCTGTTCCGCAAAGAGAAGGTGATGGTTCGAGCAGAGGCGCTCGCCCTTCAATGTCATGACCCACTGGACGAAGTGCTGGCAGCGGTCGTGCCGCCCCTCTCAGACGGACCTTCCGTGAGGCCTGCTGATCAGAGGATGCCCATGCACTACTTGGATGGGCCCAAGCAGATGGATCCTGTCGCTGCAGCTCCGGTGAGTTCGGCAAAGCCATCGCTGACCAACCCGGGCCAGGCACCGGCTCCTAGCTCATGGCAAGGTCAGTCATTGGCACCTGCTCGGAGGACCTTGGAGCAGAGGAGGGCAGACGGGATCGATTCGTCGGCCATGACTCCTCAAGCCTTCGTGGAGATGGCTCGGGCCCCATATCCTCGGCAGCCGAATCCGGCAAGCACTTGGTCAACAAAGGTGACCATTGAAGAGGTGAACTCGATCGGTGACCCACAGGCCCCCAGCACAGAGGGAAGGCCAGTGAGTTTCGGACCGAAGAAAGACGATCCGAACGTCACAGACGTTTGATCAGCCAGCTCGGTCGAATCAGCCCATGAGAGCCTGGAGCTCTGTATGATGGGGAAACGTTGGAAACGTTCTTTTTGTTTTTGAAGGGTTCAGTCGTGCGAGTGTGATGCGGCTTTCTTTTCGGCACCGTTCGGCCGGACGATCGGACTCTTAGACGTGCGATCGCACGCTCGTGCACGTGAGGCAAGATTCTCAGAGAGAAGTTTTGGGGTCTCAGAGACGGTCGCTCACTGGGTTGTATGATGCCGTGAGGCTCTAACAACCATGGTCTGATGTCTGTCTCAAGAACTGTTCAGTGCATGCAGTTTTTCATTTCCGTTGATAGCTGTGCAGCTTTGTTGTTGAATTTGTTCAACTTGTTTTGATGTGATAAGTTGTTCGCCAACCTCTGACTGCTTTGAGTGTTCACTGATTGAACATTGATCGAACTTCGCCGATCGGCGGCACCGTGTGAGGTCGGTACACTCAGATGCGCAGGGGGGGGGGGTCACAGGGGCTCTCACGGGGGTGGGACGGGAGTGAACTCGGGTGGACGGTCGGTTGGTTTGGTTTTCTTTGGCCGGTCGGTTCCGCGGTTCCCGCGCGTGTTCACTCCCTGTGACCCACATGAAGAGTACATCGCTCGAGAAGCGACCATGGCCCAAGCTCCGGATAGATGGATCTCGAAGATCCTAGCTCTCCCCGTATTCGATCGGAGTTTCGCCAGGCGGTCACCGCCACACCATTGTGCAATGTGGCGTTTATCAGCGCCATGGAGGTGAGCTCGGGGCACGAGTTCGCAGACAAGGCCCTGGACGTCGCGCGACAGCTGGATCCTAGTGTCTTCAACCTTTTTCAAGGGAGAGAAGGGATGCTGGAACAGCTGTGGGCTCTCGCATGCTCGATCGAGAAACGATACTTCGAGTCGACTGCTCTCCAATTGGGTTTTGGTCTTTGCGAACTGGGTAAGCCGGTCGAGCATTCGCTGGACAAGACAGCTGCACTCCGCAAGAACGCGGCCATCACAGCACTGTTCCATAAACCGGTTCATCAACCCAAACGCGCCCGCGTCGAAGCTCAGGCATCGTCTTCCTCGACACCTTTGCTCGACAAGGAGACCAAAGAGAAATGGAGGTGGGCAGCGAGGCTCGAGGCGATCGGCCAGAGAGCTGGCTCAGAAGCTCTCCGGGGGAGCGGATGCAGCTCAGACAGCTCGTGTTGGTCACTGGTTCGTTTCGCACCATGGCTGCTTATACCCAAGCTTTTGAAAGGTTCGAAAGGTGGGTCAGTCACCAGGAGTTAGACATGTACCCCTTGTCGATCGACAAAGCTTTGAAGTATGGCCTCTTTTTGGATTCTACCGAGTGTGGTCCTTCAGTCCTCCCGTCGTTTCGAACTGCCGTTCGGTGGGTCTGCTCGCGCCTGGCGATCGATCCCCCGGACCTGGACGACAAGCGCTGGGAAGCACTTCAATCGAAGGTGGTGGCGGAGAGAGCACGGACACTCAAAGAGGCCGTTCCCATTCCGATCGCGGCGGTGAAAGCACTTGAGTTGTGGCTTGTTCATGACGCATCGGAACCGAAAGAAGGTACGATTTTTATTTGGTGGCTCCTTTGTTCAATTTTTGCTTCTCTTCGTTTTGATGACGCCATTCATGTCAAACCCTCTGAAGGATGAGGGTTTGTTTGGTGTCTGTTGGCAGACGAAGGTTGAACGTAAGAGGGTCGGCACTAGGCTCATGGTTCCGAAGGTTGGGTTCGTCGAGTCGTCGTGGTTGGAGTTCGGGTGGAACCTGTTCACGGAGGGCGGAATTCCCGATCGTGATTTCTGGGTCCCTGAACTTAATGCCCGTGACGAATCTAAGACCGAACCCCCTTCACATGCTAGGTCTCTGCAGTGGCTTAAGTACATCGCTCGAAAAGCGGTGGATCAGTGTCACACCCTTGATAAGAAGGATGCTGTTCACTGTGCCATGCAGATCAATAAGCTGACCATGCATTCACGCCGAGTGACCTTGCTCGACGCCGCGGTACACGCAGGTCGGTCGACCGAGGAAATAGGACTTCAGGCCAACTGGAAGAACCCGGGGCCTATGGTCCTCAAGTACACTCGGAATAGGTCCTCAGTACCTGCTCAAATGGTCAAACAGTTGGTCCAGGAACTTGTTCAAGATTTTCAACCTGCCTCTGCTGACGAAGAGGCAATTTGATCGATGCCTCGGAGAACGAACTCTCTCACGATGAGTTCTTCATCAAGCAGCCGGCGCCAGGTAGTTATTATGAGTACAAGTTCCATTGTTTGTCCAACGTAGACCTTGAGCATACAGCATGTAATAAGTTCACTATATCGGAATGCAGCTCGGTTGGAGGGTCGCTTCCGGATGTCAGTGTTTTAAACAAAGCATGCGCATCGGAACAGACCGGACATTCTTGCTCGTTTCAGCTGAGAAAGTGTGAAGCTTTTTTCTGCAGGGCGCCCCGGGTTGGGTCTGAGATCGTGAGTCACTGATTTGCACTGTTTCTTTTCAGCAGTCGCTCAGTTTTGACTTCAAGTGCTTTGTGTTTGTTCGCAGGTTGATCAAGTGCGATTCATGAAGTTTTTCTGCTCATACTTGTTTTCGGTCGTTCGACATGGTGGGTTGTACCGTCTACGATGCCGCTGCGGTGCCAGAGCTCAGCCTGCGCCAGGTCCCCGGAGCGGCTCTGCCGGCTGGTCGCCGACAAAAGGCTCCTTACAGTTGAGAC